CTTCTGGTCTCTTTGAATCCTGTGTACCTGTGAACCTGTGAAAGTAAGTTACTGACCCGGATTGTGCCCTGACCTTGCTGTTTTCTCCTGTTCTTGACCCTTGCTTGCCTGACCTCTCTCCTGAATGCCCCCTATTGGATCTGACCTGCTGTTGCTGACCTGGCGTGTGACCCGACTATTCTTTGCCTGCTGCTCTGTACCGCACCGTCCCCATAGTTACCGACCTGGCTTGTATGACCTTGCACTTGCTCAGCCATCGATCCATCCCTCTCAACGGGGTCTCCAGACCTCCTCATATCTGGCTCTCTCCCGTAGGAGCCCCTGGCGAATACCCCTACCACTGACGGGTGTCCTCAGTAGTCACGACCTGGTCCCGGGGTACTCCAAGTCCATCCCCACCATCAGGGGCTTTGGTGAACAAGTACTCTGGGGCTTAGACTCCGTACGCTGGGAACGACCGATCAGTGGAGTGCTAGTGGTACCGCCGGGCGGTCCCTTACACAGCACAAGTATGTATGAGTTTAATGATAGACTTATGAGACACACACCAGAACCTCGACAAAGGGACGTCAAACGGCCTTCACTCGAGGGATAGCGGGAGACAGGATCAGGATAATGATCAGACATTATACTGGGAAAAGTATGGTGGAAGCACTGAAGTAGAGAATAGAACAGAAAAAGAAAAAAAAAGTGGAAACGTCATTCCCACAGCGCCTTGCGATGAGCCGGCAATGCTGGTAGACTATCCCCAATGGTGTGTCTGCGCCTGGTCGGTGAAGACGGAGGTTGGGGGGGGTCTACGGCGTCTCGCTCCTTCAGGGTGTCCTGATGGCTGGGCTTCAATGCTTTCATCCCCTGTCTGGACTGGGAGGCGGAGTTCCACAAACCAATTGGACAGATCTACTGTTGGGATGTCTAAGGTCTTGCAAGATGGTTGTACATCTTCTCGGAATCTCAGGATAGCCATTCGTCCCAGGTGTGAAGCTGAAAGACCAAATGGAAATTTCCAGCGATACGCTATGCTGCAGGAGCGAAGTAGATCTAGCAAAGGATGCAAGTCCTTTCTGCGTTGAAGGGTAACATGTGAAATAATTTAATTTCTGCTCCGTTGAATATAATGCGATTTCTGTCTCGCGCTCTGCGTAACAGCTCTTCCTTGAATCGGAAATCCACTAGGCAGCAGATAACATCTCGCGGGGGTTCTGTGTCCCTGCTTTTGGGTCGAAGGGCCCTATGGAGATGTTCAGTCTCAATAGGTGTCTCCTGAGGTATTTAAAGTAGATCGTTAAAGATGGTTAGGATTGTTTGTGGTAATTAACCCGCCTCGATCGCCTCAGGTACGCCACACACTCTTATGTTGTGGCGCCGTCCCGTTGTCCAGGTCCTCAATATGACAATCAATCTCGTGTAGATGCGTAGCATGCGTATCTAGCAGTTGGCGCGTATCATGTAGGGCAAGATCCTGTGTGATGATTTTGCTTCCAACCTTTGTGCCACTGCCTGCATGTCAATATGCAGATCAGCAATCGCTGCAGAGAGGTTCTCTTTTATGTCAAGTGCCACAGCCACAAGTCAAGTGCCACAGCCTTAAGATCCCCTATAGTGAGAGGGGAGCCTGCAGAGGGACATGCTGTGGCAGCTGCAGCTGGGCTCCTGCTACGAGAGCGGGATGCTCTATGAGTAGAGTGGGAGGAGGCAGCATGTGAGGAGGCCGCAGTGTGTTCCAGGGCCTGGGACCGGAATAGCTCCGGGATACTGTGGCTTGTGGGACCGTTCATCGGGTGGGGAGACCGCTATCATGGGGCGGAGGCTTTCCGATCCACCTTCCCCATGGCAAAGGCGGCTCTCCCTGCTTGTGCCACGTGATCTTTCCTCCGTGTGTTGGAGCTCCGGGGGTTAAGCGGCCATCATCCTCCAGGCTCAAGCCAAGCCCCCTTTTTTGTTATGTTCTGAGTGTTATTTTTTGGTTTGTTTTTGGGTGTAGTATGTTGTTAGTTGAGGTGTTTTAGATAATACTGTAGGTGTGAAAAAAAGAACTTTCCACTGTAGGGTTTTTTTGTTTTTATGGTTATTTTATGTGGTGTATTTTACTATTAGTCAAAAAAGGGGGATAAAAGATTTAATAAAAAGGAGAGGGAATTTTTGGTGAAATTTCAATTACAGCCAAGTCGTCAGTTTCTCTAAGAAATTAGGTTTGCTAAAGTTCTCCAAATATGCTTACTCTCCATATAATTCTTCATGTTATGGGTCCCAATTTGTAAAAAGTATAAAAATATATTTCTTGTAAATTTTTCTTAAGGAATGTGCGTCAGCTACAGTACTGCCCAAGCTGAACTTCAGACACTGGAGAGCGTCACATGATTTGCAGTCACTGTCAATATTGATCACTGAGGTTCCCCTACTCCCCTCCTCCTGGAAGGACTTTGGCTGACCTCAGAGCTAGGAAGGGGGAGCAACTTTGTATATTTCAAATGCAGACCAACACATCTACTGACACTTCCAGAGATGGGAAAAAAAAATCAGATTTGTTTTTAGTTCATTGGGGCAAAGACTGTACAAATAAAAGCAGTCTAACTTATGATTATGTTATGCATCAATTTGAGATATTCATCTTAATAGGCATTGCATGGTAAGATTGTCTTTTTAAAGAATTTAAGATAGCCAAATATTATGCCTCCAATAAATAAAGAATGTACTATACTATATAAACACTAATATTGCTGAAGCTGTTTCAATCACAAATTGAAAGGATGGCCCGAAGAGCCCTGTTAAGATTGTGAAAGACCTGGGAGCACCTCAAGGACAGCACTGATGTGACACACATAGCATACATCAGTGAACAGTGAAATGTGCTGAAAATAGGAGGGGCTTAAAGAGGCATGATTTATTAGAGCCTGCTCACTGTATGCACTGCACACATATGCAATAGTCTATTGCCATGGGTCCGCAACAAATCTTTCATCTTCAAAATTCAGGGTTCCAGCAAATGATGCAGGGAATTCTTTGCAACCATAATGCATTTGGTGGCCTTTGAACGGAGGTCCTCAGACTTAGAAAGATCAATAAGGGATCTTATGGATAAGTCAGTTCCCTCACTGAAAAGGATGAGATCACAGTAGCCATATTGAGTTTTTTTGTGATAGGGAGTGCTTCTGACAAACGGCATAGGGAGAGATTAGTGTAGAGCTTGTAGTAGATGTAAACCTTTATTGAATGTCATGTGGATAGCAAACTGCTGTGTTTCTTGGGGGTGGAGGAAGGAAAGGGGTTTTACCTTTTTTATCCTCTGTTACATGTTAACCACTTGCCTACTGGGCACTTTTACCCTCTTCCTATACAGACCAATTTTCAGCTTTCAGTGCTCTCATACTGTGAATGAAAATTACGCGGTCATGCAACACTGTACCCAAACTAAATTTATATTTTGAGACAAATAGAGCTTTCTTTTGCTGGTATTTGATCACCACTGGGGTTTTTATTTTTTGGTAAGCAAACTAAAAAAGGCCAAAAATTTTGAAAAAAAAGTTTCTTAGTTTCTGTTATAAAGTTTTGTAAATAAGTAATTTTCCTCCTTCACTGATGGGCACTGATAAGCTGCACTGATGAGAATTCACTGATGGGCACTGAGAGGCTGCATTAATGGGCACTGATGAGGCTTCACTGATCGGCACTGATGAGTGGCACTGATTCAACTGATTGCCGGCACTGATTGTTATCACAGATGGGCACTAATGGGTGCTAATGGCCACACTCATGGAGCTACACTGATCACCAGGACACTGATGATCAGTGCCCTGACGATCAGTGTAGATGTTCCCCTGTGGAATGCCACTTACCAGCTATCCTCTCCTCACACACTGTCAGCGTGAGGAGAAGACTGCCGATAACTGGCACTTCCTATTTACCCGGTGAACAGCTGTGATTGGACACAGCTGGGCACATGGTAAAAGAGGCTGTTATTGGCCCGTTCCTTAGTCATGTAATCAGCTGTGTCTAAAGGACACAGCAATCACAGACCGCACGCAGTGTGCGCCCCAGGGGGCGTGGTTCTGAGAGGACGTCCATGGACGCCCTCCCAGAATTAGCCGACTGTGCTGTAGCCATCTTTTGGCTATACCGCGGTCAGGAACTGGTTAATTCTGCTAATGTCCTGCAACCCTTTTACAGCCTGTCCATATGCACAATGGTAATAACAGCCTACATGTGTTTTTTCACAGAGTATATTTTCTAATTTGTCTGCCAAAAATTATTTTTTTCACAGACATTTTTTAAATGATGACAACAGTGGAATATTCCAGGCCAATATGCATCAGCACAGAAGCTTTTAGTCTCCTTTGGGAGAGCTTGGGACAGGGTGATAAGCAGGAGATTGTGGGAGGCGGGGCAAATTGTTGTCACCTCAAAGTGCCCAAATAAGGACCTTTATATCAGTATTAAGAGTTATTTTAATGAAAGCTAGCTATTAAAATAAAAATAGGCTTTCAAAGTGATATTATCATGATAAAGCTTATCTGAGATTTCAGTGGTTAGGTTTACACTTTAACAAACTATTCTTCAGTTCTTTGAAGTGCAGTGCTGGGTCAATTTATTTTTTTTTGCCCTGCCTCTGTCCACAGATCTGTACACCCAAATATCTGTCTAAAACAGTTAATTAATAGCTACTGTGTCAATTGTCAACACCTTAGCTACTGTTTCCTGCTAACTGGGTCTTTCTGTTTTGATGATATTTTTTATCCTGAAGTGATTAGAATACTTTAGGCAGTTGTTGCTGACAATCTGTTCAAGAGCTGCCTTTTTTCATAGCACTTCATTGCATCCTTTAACTAGTTGCCGACCGCAGATAGCCGAATGATGGCTACACTGCGGCCAGCCAGTTCTGGGAGGGCGTCATATGATGTCCTCCCAGAACGCGCTCTCTTGTGCGTCCCCGGGGGTGCGCACCCGGCGATCTCCATGATCATTGTGTCCTACAGACACAGCTGATCACATGATGTGGTAAAAGGCCAATCACATCAGCCTTTTACCATGTGATCAGCTGTGTCCAATGACACGCTGATCACAGGGAAATGCAATTGCTGGTTCTCGGCTGCACTTTCCTCACGCTGTCAGATTGTGAGGAAAGTACTGCCGAGAACTGGCAGTTGTTAGAGCAGGGATCGGCACCGATCATCAGTGCCCTGATGATCGGTATCCAGCAGTACCACCCACCAGTTCCACCCACTTGTGCCCAGCAGTGCAGCCACCTGTGCCACACACCTGTGCCCAGAAGTGCCATCCAGAAGTGCCACCTACCTGTGCCCAGCAGTGCCACCCACCAGTGCCCATCAGTGCCACCCACCAGTGCCCAGCAGTTGTGCCAGTCAGTGCCCAGCAGTGCCCTAACAGTGCAGCCAGTCAATACCTAGCAGTGCCGCCAGTCAGTGCCCAGCAGTGATGCCAGTCAGTGCCACCTATCAGTGCTGTCTATCAGTACCTATCATCAGTGCCGCCTATCCGTGCCACCTCATTAGTGCTGCCTATCAGTGCCCATCAGTGCTGCCTCATCAATGCTTATCAGTGAAGGAGAAACATTACCTCAAAGAAATTAGCTTGCGAGCCACTGAGGTATGTTATGAAGGTATAAGTACTAGATCGCTGGTTAGTAAGCCCACTCTCTTGTGATGTGCGTTTATCAAAAATTAATTTAAATATTAACCGCACTCTAATATCCACAGAACAAGTGAATCAAAAGTGCTATGTGCCTATAAATAAATAAAAATATAAAAATAAATAATGTATCGTGATTGAAAATTATGACTTGTGAAATCAAATAAATTAATATTTAACGTAACTAATTATATAAAATAATTCATATCATATTATCACGTCACTAAATGTGCAATCCTTATAACTAGAGATGAGCGAATCGAACTAGGCGAAGTGGAATTCGTTTCGAATTTCAGGAAAAATTTGATTCGCGTCGAATCCGAATATTTGCATAATTCGGGTGCGCGAATCGGATTTTTCCCGATCAGCCGGCAAAAGTGTCCCCTGCAGAGAGCTCCGCTATTTCTGACAGTTCTCTGACAGTTCCTTCACATGTACAGCGGTTGAAACATTGTATCTATTTGTTTCCATTTAGGATACAGATGTTTTTATTCGGAAATAAATAGATACAATGTTTCAACCGCTGTACATGTGAAGGAACTGTCAGAGAACTGTCAGAAATAGCATAGCTCTCTGCAGATACACTTTTTGCTGTACTGGAATACTTCTTCTTTTCATTCTTCTTTTCATTCTTCTCATTCTTCTTTTCATTCTTCTTTTCATTCTTCTTCTCATTCTTCTTTTCATTCTTCTTCTTCATTCATTCTTCTTTTCATTCTTCTCATTCTTCTTTTCTTCTTCATGAAAAGAAGAATGAGAAGAAGAATGAAAAGAAGAATGAAAAGAAGAATGAGAAGAATGAAAAGAAGAATGAAAAGAAGAAGAAGAATGAAAAGAAGAATGAGAAGAAGAATGAAAAGAAGAATGAGAAGAATGAAAAGAAGAATGAAAAGAAGAAGAAGAAGAATGAAAAGAAGAAGAAGAATGAAAAGAAGAATGAAAAGAAGAAGAAGAAGAATCTTTTCATTCTTCTCATTCTTCTTTTCATTCTTCTTCTTCTTCTTTTCATTCTTCTTCTTCTTTTCATTCTTCTTTTCATTCTTCTTCTTTTCATTCTTCTTTTCATTCTTCTTCTTCTTCTTTTCATTCTTCTTTTCATTCTTCTTCTTCTTCTTTTCATTCTTCTTCTTCTTTTCATTCTTCTTTTCATTCTTCTTCTTCTTCTTTTCATTCTTCTTCTTCTTCTTTTCATTCTTCTTTTCATTCTTCTTCTTCTTTTCATTCTTCTTCTTCTTCTTTTCATTCTTCTTTTCATTCTTCTTCTTCTTCTTTTCATTCTTCTTTTCATTCTTCTCATTCTTCTTTTCATTCTTCTCATTCTCTTTTTCATTCTTCTTCTCATTCTTCTTTTCATTCTTCTTCTTTTCATTCTTCTTTTCATTCTTTTCATTCTTCTTTCTTCTTCATGAAAAGAAGAATGAGAAGAAGAATGAAAAGAAGAATGAAAAGAAGAAGAAGAATGAAAAGAAGAATGAGAAGAATGAAAAGAAGTATGAAAAGAAGAAGAAGAATGAAAAGAAGAATGAGAAGAAGAATGAAAAGAAGAATGAGAAGAAGAATGAGAAGAATGAAAAGAAGAATGAAAAGAAGAATGAAAAGAAGAAGAAGAAGAATGAAAAGAAGAAGAAGAATGAAAGAGAGAATGAAAAGAAGAAGAAGAAGAATCTTTTCATTCTTCTCATTCTTCTTTTCATTCTTCTTCTTTTCATTCTTCTTCTTCTTTTCATTCTTCTTTTCATTCTTCTTTTCTTCTTCTTCTTTTCATTCTTCTTTTCATTCTTCTTCTTCTTTTCATTCTTCTTCTTCTTTTCATTCTTCTCATTCTTCTTTTCATTCTTCTTTTCATTCTTCTTCTCATTCTTCTTTTCATTCTTCCTCTTCTTTTCATTTTTTTCATTCTTCTCATTCTTCTTTTCTTCTTCATGAAAAGAAGAATGAGAA